AAAGGCCCCCAGAAAAGAGAGATAGGGGACCTTCAGAGCATGGCAAATAGTGTCTTTGCTGAAATAGAAGGATATGTTAGGAGCTAGAGGAAAAATCACTAGACATTTAAGATGGAGCTAGAATATGGAAGCCAAGCCAAGAAGTTGGGACTTTAATCCTGAGGTCAAGGAAGTAATGTTACATCGCTTAATGTTACATTATGAGACATATATGATTTTTGAATTGACCTGATATCTCTGACTAGTTGCACACTCAGCATTTATAAAACTTCACTATATTTTTTTTTTTTTTTTGAGACGAGTCTCACTGTTGCTTAGGCTAGAATGCCATGGCATAGCCCAGCTAATAGCAACCTCAAACTCCTGGCTCAAGCAATCCTTCTGCTTCAGCCTCCCAAGTAGCTGGTTACAGACATGCACCACCATGCCGTGCTATTTTTTCTACATATTTTTGTTGTCCAGCTAATTCTATTTTTTTTTTTTTTTTTTTTAGCAGAGATGGGTCTCACTGTTGCTCAGGCTGTCTTGAACTCCTAAACTCAAATGAACCTCCTGCCTTGCCTCCCAGAGTGCTAGGAATACAGGCGTGAGCCACCGAGCCTAGCCAAACTTCATTATTTTTTATTTAGCAGTTTTCTTTTTCTATTTAAGAGCCAATATTTAGCCATTGAAGACCTTGAAGCCTCACGCACTTTCTCCATAAAGTACGGATGAAATAGGTCTGCAAACAGAGAGGCTTGGAGAAAAGAGCACTGCACAAATACATATAAATACCTTATACATTTAAAGTAATACGAATATATTTAATAATATACATTTGAAGGAAAATGTGCTAAAACATTTATTATAAAAACAACAATACATCATAGGCAGGATATGTATTTACAGTGATTTTTATGGTCAAAACCACTTTTGATTAAGAACAAATTCAGATAAACGTTTTCCAAAAAGAAGGCAGGTAAAGTAGGACCCAATTAGTTGTTTCTTCCTTTGCTTTATTGTCTTAACTATTTATATTTAATTCATTCAGTTAGGGAAATGATTTTCATTTATTTACAAATATTATTAACTATGATGTTCCAAAATATAAAGAAATCAATCATCATTTGTGTTATGTTAATTTGAGATACTTTCACACAACAGTCATGTGAAAAGGGAGAATTAAATCCAAAAGTGAATTTCAGGCTAAATATAATCAAATACGGTTTTTGAGTATTTTGTGGTTTAATAAGAAGGGTCATTAAGTCAAAGTAATAAAGTATAAAACTTAATCTCTCAAAGTACTATAAAAGTTTCAATCTTCATAAGATGGCAAATTTTTCCTTTCTCAAGTTTTTCTTATACCTAATGATACTAAACTAGAAGTAAATTATGTTTTTATTAATTATTTATTATTATTTGATTCTACTTTTCAGTCAACTCCTTTGTTAGTTTGAGGATTTCTTTTATAATGTAATGGACTTATAAGAAATATTATACTTAAACCAAAATAGGTTTAAAAGCACTCGTAAAAATTTTTTAAGAGGAAGCTGTGATCATTTTGAATTGGATGGTTAGAAAATTTTATAGATATATTTCCAAGGATAAATGCTTATCCCTTTTTTCATTTGTTTCTCTTTGAATCTATTCACAAGATTTAAAAATAAAATTTTGACCTTGCAGTGAAAAATTCTTTTCTATAAAACTGTCTCTATATAATACCTTACCATGCTTATTTGAATCTTTTCTGGCATTTACCACTTGCTCTTTAAGATTGCATTGATGTCAGTCACCTTGTCTCACATTAACCAACACTGGCATATTAATTTAAAAATACATAAAGTTTAATATGGTATTTTCAAACAAAAAATGTAGTTGATAAAAGTCAGTAAACAAATACTTTTTAAGCAAATGTTATGTAGCAGCTCTATGAAAAATTACAAAGAGGCTTAAAATAATTGTCACTATCTTACTGAAATTTATATTCTGAAGAATTCAGCCATTTATTTTCTTAGATGTGACTATAAACTAAAATGACTCCAAAAGCCAGCCATTAAACAGATCCCCTTAGCTTTTAAAAGTGGAAGATGTGTATATTAATTATGTGCATTTTATTTTTTAATACCTTTGTATGATACTATTGTCCTGTATTTTCTTCTAAGGTTATGTTTAAATTGATTAAAGTTATAGAAACATTCATTATTCTTAAAAGCAAACTCTGCATTGCAGTCTGACTGCTCATTCATAATTCAGTATCTCAGCCTAAAACATTATGCTCAAACAAGCACAAATATTGGCAAAGGTGAAATATTGAACTGTTACAGTAGCAGCTAAATTATGTAGCAATCTATGTCTGTTCTTTAATTTCCTAGCACAAGAAATAAAAATTAAAAGCAGAAAAATAGCCAGCAATTATGGTTGTAAGCTAAATAAGCAAAGGAGAAAAGCCAAGTTGCTGTTATTCAAAGTTCCCATGCTCTTTGTTAGTTTAGTGAGGATTTGAAAAGACAATGAAATCCAAGAAAGGGGAAAAAAAACAAACCCCAAAACATTAGTTACTTATTACCTATCCAGGCAAAGAAAAGGGATTCCAAAAGACTGTTCTTATGGATTTGAACTTTGAAAATAGCAACTTTGATTTTAAGTTAAAAGAAATTTATTTTTCCTCAATTTTTTCTTAGTTATCTGGGCAATAATACCAGCCCTCCATTTATTGGGATCTTGGTCCCTTGTCTGGAGGTTCCAGCAGGTAAGCAGGTTTACTAAATGCCCTTAATAGAAGACAAGTCTTTCCTGTCTGGGCAAGTTGGGTTTAAAGCATCAGTAAATATGCACAATGAAAACTGAAAGCAGGAGACCCACACCTCACAAACTGAATCAGCAGAATTAACCCAGCAGATCAATTTGTTAACAGACAAACCTACCAGATCACTTTCACTTCCTATCATTTCACTAAGTTTCCACTTAGTGAGGCTAGACAGATTGTGCTTTGTGTCATTGAAGACCTTACATTTTGTAGCCAGCAGTAACCTACATACACAAAGTGATTGATGTTTAAAGGTTAACGATAAGTATCTAGTGCTCAGGAATTTTGTCTTCTTCTGAATTTTATGGCTTATTGTTCTAACTTTGTCAGGTACCTTATGACATGTTATAACTCTTTCTTTTATAACAATGAAAAACAGTAATACAATAAGTATAGTCAGTTCATTATGTAATAAAATTACTTCTGTGAAATAGAAAACCATTAACATTTCTCCCAAAATCTGGATGATTAAAAAATTTGCAACAAATTATAACACCAGTCCTTCTCATCCAATTTTCTTCCATGACTGTTTGAATGGCTCACCATATAACAGCATTTATAGTTTTTAAAGCTCCTTTAGTATACTGTCACATTGAGTTTCACGACAATCCTGAGAGGGAAGTAAGTGGGAATAGTCCACATTTTACAAATGGGGCACTTAGACGCACAGGTGTGACATAGGGCATCCACTGTCACAGGCTTAGTGAGGGATGAGGTGGGGGCTCCAGCTCATTGCCCCACTCCACACATTTCTTAAGACAAACCACATGTGCTCTTAAAAACAGGACAAAACACTGAAGCATCCATACTCTTCACTCTCCTCTCACCACTAACCATTGCCTTAATTAAAAAAAGAACTTCCATTCAAAACAAGATCAGAACGAAGAGTAGAATGTTTGTAGGAACACAATCTGATTCTGTTTGAGTTCTTTCACATTTGCTCTTTACAGCATTCTTTAATTGTCAATATGTATGCCATCCAGAGAATTTTCACATTTAACAGACTCAAAGGAAAATCTGCTTCATCACCTCATTTTCTTCCTCACAGTTCTGTAAGGGACCGGTGGGTTTCCTTTCCAACAATTCAGAGTATGTCATTGAGGCACTTGCCCTCAAGCAAACCACAAAGACAAACATAGACAGAGGAATGGAGCTGCATATTCTGTGTTGCACGTGTGAAAGTAAAGATGCACAACTTAAATCTGAGATCCTTAGTGTTGAACAAAGGCAAGCAAATAATTTTTCAGCCTATGGAACAGATCCATACATTCAGCAAGGACCTGTTCTTTTATCTACTGAGGCTCTTTCTGGCATGACAAGTAGGATCCATCAGTAATAAATGGGAAGCATGCCCCACTCACACTGGAGCTATGACATTATTTTTAAGCTCTCTTGACAAAAACTACAGGAAAACTCTCTTAAATTTGGTTATTTTTATATCCTAAAAGCACTTATTTGAAGCCTAGGAGAGATATCACTGGGATTATGACAAAGAAACAATATTTTCATATATCTATAGGTGATGATTATTTTTCTGTTTCAAGAAATGTACATGCTTAAAGAAAACTGACAGTTGGTAGTTCCCCTGTGGATTATCTTAAATTTTCCCTGTTAATTCTCTTCTCAAAAGCAATATGCTGTTAGAGTAAGAGCACCAGAGAAGAATGTAGGATTAGTTTGTACACCACCATTAACCATTAGTCTTGTCACAGCACTACATGTCTCTGCCTAATTCTATTGCCTAATTCTTCTTAAAGGCATTCTAGCTATCTAAGGGATTTCTAGTTGGGAAATGCCACTGGTTTACTTATTTGACAATAGCACATAGTTGTTTGTCCAGCTTTGTCATGACAACCTTATCAAGGCACTGTCACTAGTGTTGTATTGGCATTGGTATTATTGAAGGACAGCACCAGCACATTTGGCAATAACTCTGAATTCCCAACTAACTATGTAAAGCATACTAACACCAACAGAAAATCAAATCACAAAAAGAGCTGTATCTTTGTCTTTTCTTTCTACATAAAGAAGACAACATCTTGAGATAGCATGGCCTTGTTTGAAAACACTGGGATAAAAGACATCCATTCTATTCTTTGTTGTTGTTTTATAAAATCAAATAAAAATCCATGGACATTTAGTGAATTGTGTGTTAAGTTGGTATTTGAATTTAAAAGTGTACTATAAAAAAATTCTTGAAATTTCTGCCCCTTACCTTGCAACCTCTGCATCACATTGGCGATGTCCCGAGGAGGTCGTGAGGCTGCTCTGGAGGTTGCCATGGTCCCTGCAGTAGGATGAAGGGAACGCCACAAGACCTCACCAGAGGCAGCACAGGACTACACCACTCTAGAAAACATACTTGAACTCTCCTAGATCTATCAAGTCATAAGTGAATCCCACTTGTAGCAGTCATCAGGGAAACAGCACTCCCAAAATTGAACCACTTCTTTTTCTTCTTTGAATACTGTCCTCTTAAATGAACTCAAAAACCTGAAAAACAAAAAAGAAAGGTGCAATATAAAAAATCTACAAAGGTCACCGTAGTGCTAAAAGGAGAACCATTTCTATTCAATTGGAATACCTAATTCATTATCAAGTGAAATCATGTGAAAACATTTACAAACTATGAAGAACTATGCAAATATTAGGAATCCCCATGATATTTGATAAAATAAACACATAAATGAGACATATAAAATCTAATTGGTTGCTAAAAGGAGTAATGTTCATTGTTATTCCATGTTTTCTGTCTAAGCTATAAACTTTCTCCATTGACCTATGAAAGTGAAAGCCCTAGTTCTCAAAGCCCTGAGTGACAGTTCTCAGTGTTCACAAGCTCTCCTATCTGTGCTATTGTATCCTGCTTTGCACACATTTTTTGCCCTGTTTTGTTGTAGACTTTACAGGAATGAGATAAAATCCTAATTTCTAATACCAGTTCGATGGATTAAAATGGTATAAATGTAAAAACTATCTCATTCCAAAAATTTGAGTTTCAAATATTCTAATTTTAGTAGCCCAATGGGTCTGATTTAGCTTTTTCCTTCCCTATACAGAAAGACACTAAAGTAAGTTGTAAGGCTGGGGGAAGGGTGCACTAAACAGAGAGGGCATTTCCCTTCTGAATTCTCTGCTTGGTCAACTTTAACTGACATCTCAACTGAGAGGGAAGGCAAAAAAGAGGTAGGAGAGTAGTTGATGAAATCTCGACATTGCAAAATGCACTTTGAGCAAGAATTTCCTAACCCTAGGATTAGCTGAAGAGAATATCTTGCCATGAACAGTATAATTAGACAGAAAGAAGAGGGTAGTGAATAATGCATCCAGAGAAAGAAACTCAACCAAGGGGCCAGGCTGAAAAGGCCCAGGCGAGAGTGATACTTTATTACAAATCACATTGCATCTCTAGGTTATGAAAATGAAGGTAAAAAAATAATAATAAAGAAATGGGGAAGGAGGAAAAAATGCAAAAAGCAAAACTGCCAAAGAAAGCACATAAATGTGGGATGGTCCACCTGTCTGAAGGAAAAAAGAAAATAAGAGGAGTTTATGAGTGTTATAAAAAACTCTATTATAACCTGAACATATGGTCCATAAAATAGTATAATTCATGAAGGATTGATTAAGTAATAGAGTGTACAATTACAATTGATTTAAAAATGGCATTAGCAATGCTAGCATATATTGGTATCTGGTCTGAATACATGAATGCAAAGCTAATCATATCTTTTTCAGACTATCATCTATTAATAAAAAGGGGCGCAAAGCATTGTACACTGCTGCTGGCATGTGTGAAAAGTATGTGTGAAAATGATGTATTGGAGCAAGAAAGCATCACTAACTTAGCAAGTCAAGGGGCGGAGATACAATAAACATCATTAATTGGTAAGAAGGTAGGAGAAGACTTCTCTTGGCCACTTGAAAGGATAACTACTAGAAGTAGGACCCAATTCTTGGCATCTTCTAGGCTAGAGTGGTACTTCTCAGTGGGTGGCTCTCCAAGGGATTCTCAGAAGAGAAATAATTACTTATGGCTGGGCTGTCACACATCAAGACCTATATTCCTGCTGGAATTGTGTGCCCATTAGCAGCCTGTATCTCCTGGGGAAAAATATTCCACTCGCCCACATACAAAAGCTACTTTAATTTGGGAGACTAATAGATAGTGAGAAGTGCCTGAGGGACCTTACAAATAGCTCCTCCGAGCTATTAGGAGGTTAGGTTCCCCAAATGCAAGAATATAGATTTTTTGAAATCTAACTATCAATAAATTGGCCAATATAATGTATGTGCATATACATTAACTAAAAAGAAGGAAAGACATTCACTTCAGTTCAGGAACGCGATCCCAGTGCTCAGTACTGGAGCTTACAGATGGTGAAGACACGGCCCCCGCCTTCAATCAAGAATCATGGAATTAAAAGGGATTTCTGTAAATCACTGCATCAGAGATCACCCTGCTTCTACCCCTCTTCCAGTTCACTTTCATGTCAAACAGCAGATAAATCCGGAAACAATCTCTCTCTCTCTGTCTCTGTCTCTCTCTCTCACCACATTAAACTCAGAATTTCCCTGCTTGGACCCAGGATGTATCCAGTGTTATGTCCACAGCATAACTGACGTATTCTGAGTGCCTGAGCTCACTGCTGGGAGTACTAAGATAAATATGACACCAAACCTACTTTTGAGGAGCTTAGAACATAGTGGGAAATAAAACATAGAAAAGGTAATGTAAAAATACTAGGGATAAGTGAAAATATCAGGATGGATGGATACAGAGGATGGAGGCCAAGTCAGTCTAGGGGTTCTAGAAAAGTGTCCCAAGAAGGAGCTAGTGCCTGAGCTGAGTCTCAGTAAATGAGTTAGAGTTAGGCAAGTACAAAATATGGACGATGCATCCCAGGCAGAGTGAATAGCTGAGCAAAGGTGTGGGCACGAGCAACAGCATGATTCATAAAAACTACCACCACCAGACACTGAGTACTCTGCCAGGTAATGTTCTAGAGATGAGGCTGGACAGGAAACAGGCGGCCAGGTGGTGAGGTCCCTGCATGCTGTGCCCAGAAGCTTGGTTTTGGCTCTCTGGGAGGCAACAGGAAGCCATTGGGGGGTTTCAGGGTGGAAGCGAAAAGGGATAATTTGACTCTAGCTACAGTTTTTAAGAGTGTATTTGAGAAGGACAAGACTGGAAGATCCAGGAAGATCAGTGAGGAAGGTATCTCAGGAATCCAGGTGAGAAATGATGAGAGAACTGAAATCAGACAGAGGAGTAGAGTGAGTGGAGGGTAAAATCTAAGAAAGTTTCAGGAAGCAAAATTTGTAAGACTTGGTGATTGTCAACAGGGGATAGTGTGGGATGAGTGAGGTGTGCGGTACAGGAGGAAGGAGGTGGGGTTTCCAGGGTGAATAAGGAAGTCCGAGGAGTTTCTGATGACTTTTAGGATTCATGATGCTATTAATTTGGCTCAGCAGAAGAGGGGCTGCATAGGTTTTACTTTCAAATATTCTTCACTTCATATCTCTATATCTTTGGAACAACTCTGTGGAACAATTTCTTCATTGTCCTTCAGATCACCCCTCTACAGAATGAATGAACAACACTCTCAGCCGAACAAATCCAAAGCATCACTAAGTATATAACCCAGAACCCACATCTCACTTGAAGCCTTTCCTAAACACACCAGCATACATTAGCATTGCTTTCCCTTAGTTCCTCTAGCACTAACAATCCCCACGATAAGTACAGTTTGGTTTGTTTTCTTCACTATTATTGGTCTTATCTCACTCAAACCTAACTGTGAACATTTCACTGGTATAGACTATAACACTTATGGATGTAACATCTCATCCATTGACACCAAATATATCCCTGACCACATCCTAGGCCCCTAACATATATATATATATATATATGTTATATATGTATATATGTGTGTGTGTATATATTTCATTGAATCAAGTTCATAGTAATTTATATCTATGGGACAGCCCCAGAAAACCACTTCCTCCCTACTGCAAAAGAAGTTCATGCAATGTCAGGGAATATATTTGGTGTCAATGGATGAGATGTTACATCCATAAGTGTTATAGTCTATACCAGTGAAATGTTCACAGTTAGGTTTGAGTGAGATAAGACCAATAATAGTGAAGAAACAACCAAACTGTACTTATCGTGGGGATTGTTAGTGCTAGAGGAACTAAGGGAAAGCAATGCTAATGTATGCTGGTGTGTTTAGGAAAGGCTTCAAGTGAGATGTGGGTCCTGGTTATATACTTAGTGATGCTTTGGATTTGTTCGGCTGAGAGTGTTGTTCGTCATTCTGTAGAGGGTGATCTGAAGGACAATGAAGAAATTGTTCCACAGAGTTGTTCCAAAGATATAGAGATATGAAGTGAAGAATATTTGAAAGTAAAACCTATGCAGCCCCTCTTCTGCTGAGCCAAATTAATAGCATCATGAATCCTAAAAGTCATCAGAAACTCCTGGACTTCCTTATTCACCCTGGAACCCCACCTCTTTCCGCCGACACCTTGCTCATCCACACTATCCTCTGTTGACAATCACCAAGTCTTACAATTTTGCTTCCTGAAACTTTCTTAGATTTTACCCTCCTCACTCTACTCCCCCTGTCTGATTTCAGTTCTCTCATCATCCTCTCACCTGCATTCCTGAGATACCTTCCTCACTGATCTGATCTTCCTGGATCTTCCAGTCTTGTCCTTCTCAAATACACTCTTAAAAACTGTAGCTAGAATCAAATTATCCCTTCTCACTTCCACCCTAACCCCCCAATGGCTTCCTGTTGCCTCCCAGAGAGCCAAAACCAAGCTTCTGGGCACAGCATGCAGGGACCTCACCACCTGGCCGCCTGTTTCCTGTTCAGCCTCATCTCTAGAACGTCACCTGGCAGAGTATTCAGTGTCTGGTGGTGGTAGTTTTATGAATCATGCTGTTGCTCGGCCCACACCTTTGCTCAGCTATCACTCTGCCTGGATGCATCGTCCATATTTTGTACTTGCCTAACTCTAACTCATTTACTGAGACTCAGCTCAGGCACTAGCTCCTTCTTGGACACTTTTCTAGAACCCCTAGACTGACTTAGCCTCCATCCTCTGTATCCATCCATCCTGATATTTTCACTTATCCCTAGTATTTTTACATTACCTTTCTATGTTTTATTTCCCACTATGTTCTAAGCTCCTCAAAAGTAGGTTTGGTGTCATATTTATCTTAGTACTCCCAGCAGTGAGCTCAGGCCTCAGAATACGTCAGTTATGCTGTGGACATAACACTGGTACATCCTGGGTCCAAGCAGGGAAATTCTGAGTTTAATGTGGTGAGAGAGAGAGACAGAGACAGAGAGAGAGAGATTGTTTCCGGATTTATCTGCGTTTTACATGAAAGTGAACTGGAGAGGGGTAGAAGCAGGTGATCTCTGATGCAGTGATTTACAGAAATCCCTTTTAATTCCATGATTCTTGATTGAAGG